GGAGTGCAAGGAGAGCCGCAACTGGGGAAAGGTCATGTTCAGAAGGGAGACAAGATGGAACAGAAGCGGAGGCGAGTGAAACATGGAGAACAAGAGGCATTGCAGAACAATATGGATGTGGAGATGGGCACACAAAAAATGGGGAGGAGGCGGGCATACTCAAACAACTAAAGAATGCAATGGAGGAGATAGGAGGGATGGAAGTATGCAAATTCCATCACCTGGACTATTATTTTTGTTTGGCTGTGTTTGTTGGTCGGAACTCAGTTTTTTGTTGTCTTTTTATTTTTGTCTACAATAAGGGTACTGGTTTGGAGCGTGTTTGTTTTTTTATTGGGTCTTACTGTGAGGGAGGCAATCAGGCTGTTTCAGCCGCTAATAGCCTCTTAGCTCTCACCGTTTCAGCGATTAGTCTCGCTCTTTATGGGGTGGTCTATTCTATGTCTAAGCATGACGTGAGGGAGCCGATGGACTTTTGGTATCGTTGTTTAGGGAGATAATTAAGTCTTGGGAGATGAATGATGTACTGTTTCGTTTGATTCTTATATAAGTTAGAGATATTACCCCAAATAGGACTAAAACAGTTTGAAAATTCTAAAATAGGACTGTCATATTTTTATTCCCAAAATAGGACTAATTACTGCCATGTTTTGGCAGTACCATACTTCAAACATGACAGTATTTTCTAAACATGGCAGTAATTAGTCCTATTTTGAAAATAAAAAACATGACAGTCCTATTTTAGAATTTGTGAAACTGTTTTAGTCCTATTTCGGGAACTTTCCCTATAAGTTAGTTCCTTTCAAAAAAAATTACTTTTCCCCAAAAATAGCACATTTCAGTTTTTAGTGAGCGAACTCATCCATTCTCAATTTAAAACTTTTTGCTCCAAACATTGCTTCCGCAGGTAAATTTCTTTGGAATTTGTTAGATACTAATTTAGAGCCCGTATGGTAATACCCAAATCGATGGAATTGGTTAATTCTGCTGAAATTTATGAAGCTCTGGTTATAGTGGCTGGATTGGTTGATTATGCTTATTTATGAAAAAATTATATTTAAAATATATTTTATTAATAAAACAAAGAAAAAAATTATATGAAAAAACAGATAAAATGATCATTTACAATAACTTCAATTAATACATTCAGAAAAGTAACTTCAACCTTACTTTTTCTTATTATTAGACAATTCAGGGTATGAAGTCAAAAGTTTGTGTTTGATGAAAAAATTGACATAAACTTGATAAGCCAAAAAAAGAGGGTCACCAAACCTGATCATTTAACCAACATGTGTATTCATACATTGTTGCAGGCATCGAGAGTCAGATTACCTTTCTTGTGCTTTGTGAATATGTTTGTAATCATTCATACAAAATGTGAACTCTTTTTTAAATTGAACCACTATAGTACATGTGCATACGTACGAAAAGTGCAATTAGTGCATATATTTTTATTTATTATCTAATTAAATATTAAAATAAAATAAAAAACTTTTTAGGATTCTACATTTTTAAAAAATAAGAGTTCAATAAGCCAATACCGTACACAATAAGCCCATACAATATATATTCAATGAAGAGTATATATATTAGGAAAAATTAATTAACGCCACTCATAAAAATTTCCTACTTTTTAATTTTTATGATTAGATTAATTTTAAAATGCAACAGTCAACATTTCACACTTGTCGAGACACAACTTTGACCATTAATATAAATGATTTTGTATTAGTAAAAAAATTAAAAAAATTAGATTATGAAAATTTACAATGAGACAAGTTTAACAATATTTTTTTCATAAAATAGTATTATTACATTAATAAATAAAACGTAGTCAAAGTAGAACATGTGAATAGTGTAAAAGTCAAAGTGTTGCATTTATTTAAGAACGGATGTAGTACTATTCTAAAAATGTGAGTACAATAAGTGAGTGACATAAAGTTTAAGCAAATACAATAAATATTAAAATTAATGAATAATAGCTAAATAAAAACTTGCTACTCATTAGAAAATTGGTGCTTACATATGAGAGAAAATTATTTTGCAAAATTCATAGCCGACTTATCTTGTTATACCTAAAAGAACTATATATGACAAAAAAATATTCCACTCAATTTTTAGCTGAATTATCTTATCTTATACCTAAAAGTACTACGTATGAGAGAGAGAATTATACTCCTTAATTGTTAGTCAATTTGTCTTATACTTAAAAGAACTACATATATGATAATTCCTCCGCTTAATTGTTAGCAAGCTTATCTTCTAATAACTAAAAGCACTACACATGAGAGAGAAAATTCTTTCACTTATTATTAGCAAATTTATCTTGTCATATCTAAAAAGACTACATATGAGAGAGAAAATTCTCTCGTTCAATTGTTAGCCGACTTATGTTATTATACCTAAAAGCACTACATATGGTAGAAAAATTTCCGCTCTCAACGGTTAGCCGAATTATCTTATATACTTAAAAATAACTACATATGAGAGGGAAAGTTCTCACATTCAATTGTTAGTAAGTTTATCTTCTTAGCTTCTTATGCCTAAACACACTACATATGAGAGGAAAAATTATCTCGCTCAATTGTTTAGTCTTCTTATCTTATACTACCTTCGTCCCCCTGTTATTGTCCCATTACGGTTTACGGTGCTTGACTAACGATAAAGCAAACAGATCCCTGTCCGCACTAGAATTATTTTTAGAAAAAAAATTGCATATTCAGAAAATACATTAAAAGTTTTACAAAGTCGCAAAAACCAGAATCAAATTTGATAAAAAATTGATAAATAAAGTAAGAGATTAAGAGTGATTTGTGTTGACCAAGTGAATAGGAAATGAGACAATAATAGGGGGACGGAGGGAGTACTTAAAAGAACTGCATATGAGGGAGAACGTTATTTCGCTCAATTGTTAGCAAGTTTATCTTCTAATACCTAAAAGCACTACATATGAGCGATAAAATTCTCTCGCTCAATTCCACCGCTCAATTGTTAGCAAAATAGATCAGAAAACTATATAAATAAGTATGGACAACTACGATCACTTCAACCAATTCAGACATCAAAATAGACCAGAAAATGTATATAGATAATTTTGAGCATAACTATAGAGACCGTTAATAAATTATATTTGTATATATTCAATATTAATCTCATATGAAAGAATGAAAGATCACAAAAAGTTATGAATTTTTGATATATTTTTTGTAAAAATTGGAACAAAATTAAAACATTATAATACTTCACAGAAAATTGGGGTTTTTTAATGTGGGCCTCAGTAATGAATCTTTACGGCTGCTCCCTTCTATTCCATCCGAGAGTCTACGACATTGAAGTAAAAACAGTCACATGGCATTGCTATAGCAAAAGAGTGAATTAAGGAGAGCTGGACACCTATGATTCATTAAGGGTAAAATTATCTTTATATGAGCTACTTCTTTTCTTATATATAAATAAAATAGATTTCACTAACTTTTTATTTTGTAGTTTTATTTGTTTTCTTTTTGCAGATCCATTTTTACATCTATTGTCTTTTTTCAATTGCTTCTGAAAATAAGTATGTGACCACCCTCACATCCAATATCACATCCAATATAAATAAGTATGTGCTTCCCTTGTTCATCCAAAAAAAAGTATGTGCTGCCCTAATCCCTACATGGCTACATGCATAAGACCAGTTAGAGTGGTGGGGAGGTCAAATGTCAAAAGTGGACTCCATTCATATGAAAACAGTGTTTTGACTCCTATTTTCATGCATTCCAGCACCGTCAATAAAATACACCCATCATATTTTTTTACATTTCAATTTAATAAAACATTAATTAAATTATTATAAGTACTGTTTTCCTTCTAATTTTTTCCCGAATAATTATGGAATAAAAAATACACATTTTGATGTAAAAATAAATAAATTTCATTAATATTTTTTAACGTTTTTCGGATAACAAAAAAATGAATTTAGTTCAAGTAAGGTTCGATTATAGAATATTCGGTTATTGTTGAAGCTCCATGAATTTAAAATTTGAGTTTCGTGTTTTTAGGCTCAGAAAAACTTCAACAGTTAGAAATTCAAAATTTTTATCATTTTTATATATTACATATTGGTGTCATATGAAAGATAATAAAAAATCATGAATTTTAATATATTTTTTTATAAAATTTGGATTAGAAATAAAAAAAGTTATAATACATTTAAAAAAAATCTATGATGGACACATACCTCCACGGCTCCACATCTCTTTCTCCTACTCTCCTCCACACATGTCCACAATATTTTTTAGACTTGAGAGTCCATCCTCCTTCTATATTTACCCCCCCCCCCCCCCCCCCCCCTCCACCCCCCCTTTTCCATTTTTACTACCCATTATAGCCTACCACAGTAGTACAGTACCACTACATGGAATTAGGAGTCCAAAAAATCCATTTTTAACATTTTGGACTCTTAATCCTACACCACTCCAAATAGTCTAAGACACATATTTTAGCATTACATTTAATTTGAGGGTAAAGCAATATCATTCACAACTAAACGCATTAGATTATTTACTACTTTCACAAAATCACAACTATGATCACAAATTAGATAATACGGAGTATTATAGTTTAAAATTGTGAACCGACCAGTGCTGGATTTGTCACTCACAATATTGAGGATTTGAGATGCAGGGTCATTAGTGCCACAGAATATTGTGGAGGGAAAGGAAAGAGATGTCTATTCTTGAAATTGAATATCGCAAAAGGAAAAGAAGCTAATGGTTGAATTTCATCAAATATCATCAGAGAGCTTAACCATATGAAGATAAAACCGTGGTGTAGGGTGAAAATTGTGAATATCTGGATTTTATTAATTGGATAAAAATCATAGGTTCTTGTTTTAGATTTTGTTTATATAGTTTACTCTCCACATGGATGAGGAAGATCATATAATATAGATTCGGTCTCTACCATTACTATTATGATATATTTTCAATGTGAAATGAGCATAGCATCACTTGAGAAGATGAAAGGAAATAAGCAAAAAATGATTAACATAAAAAGTAAACGCCAACATACTAAGAAAGCAAATGACGTTTGAGAAAATGAGTCACTACAAGTCTACAACAACAAAAACAGAGATGCATCAGAAACTGGTTTCTAATATTAAAGAACAAATAAACGAATTAAAAAGTATACACTATTTTACATCTTTACATACAGGAATATGTCCACACACTACCATTATGAGAACTCCCGAGACCCGAGTTCACATAACATATGAAAACTGGAGTTTGTTAGCCCAACTTTGTTCAAGGCTTTCGACGAACTTATTGAATAAAATTCAATCACCTTGCTGGAAAAAGGTATAATCTGAAACCTACTCTTGCTTTGTGATCTACAATCCATCAATTGGTACAACATTATCATAATGCATAAATTTAAAAAAAAAAGGGCAGCAAGGTGCACATTGGGGTCCCCACCGGGCAAGGGTTCAGGGAAGGGACTCACCACAAAGATGTATGAGAAGCAAGTCTTCCCTTGTCACTTTTGACAAGAGGCTGCTGCTCCAAAGGCTTGGACCAGTGACCTCTTGGACAGCAACACTATAATCGGTGTGCCCAAGGCTGCCCTTCATCACGATGCATAAATATATCACTTTTTTCATATCTAAAAAACAAAAGATGAACAAACCTGTGTGGCCGCATGTGAAGATGTTGATCCAGAAGGAAAAACAGAGGCAACAAGAGGCGACCAAAGAACCGGATCTGCCAAGGCATCTATACCACCCCCATTGTAGTTGGTCATTAGAGGAGCAGACAAGATAGGAGTCAGCGGATTCAAGTTTCTATTAATCATTGCTAATCCTCTACTACTCCCAGTCCCACCAAACAAAGCTCCAAGCCCACTATTCCTCCCCCCACCACTACCATCATTTAGTATCTCAATTGTTTTCCCGTAATTATCACTATTGTTCTTATCATCCTCATCTTTTTCTTTATTCTTTGATGCTTTCTCTTGCAAACTCTTGTAAGCAGCAGATTGTGACAATATGCTCATAATAGTTGGTGTGGAGGTGGTGGTGCCTTTCCGATTACTTTTCCCTCCTTTCTGTGATAGCCCCAAACGCGGCATCTCATAGGGTTGAGTTGGATGAACCGTCATTTCCAATACTTCATTACTGCTACAATCCTCAGAACAGCCCTGTTTTGGTTCCTCCAATGCCTGAACTTTGGTGGTGGGTCCCCACCACTTGATATAGCTTGACAAATCTATTTTTTGGTCCATGCAAAAACCGCCTATATGTTCATTTTCTGCAGTGACATCATCACCTGATCTCGGAAGAAAATAAAATTAAAACTTTCCATTATTAAATGATATCTCATTTTATGGTAGCACCTTTAGAGGAGGAAGAAATTATAGTCACCGTGAGGTTTGCTGCTGAAATCATTAGCTTCTCGTAAATGGCCAAATTGTGAATCTCGGCGACTAGTATGCAAGACAGTAAACTAGATCAGACGCATTATGGGGAAGTGCACATTTACACAATAGCTATGAGACCGTGACACATATACAGAATCCAATTTCCATTAAATATTTAAATATGCAACGTATTAAATAAGGAGGGAGCTAATCATGATTATTTAATGGATTTGATTCCGTGATCAATAACTCCCTTGCTTACAAATTTAGGTCTTCTCTATAATAATGGCATGTAGAGTTTGGAAGAAAAAAGTGGACATCGGATGGGGCAAGAAGTATAATTGCAAGGAGGGTTCCTATGGAGTTCTTGGAGGGTTTCCCTGCAGCTATTTTATTTCATCTTGTTTAAAATTCAATTTCTTTTGTAGAGCCTCTTTATTAAGTAGTACTCCCTCCGTCCCCTTTTAAATGTCTCATTTTACCATATTGGGATGTCCCTATTTAATTGTCCCATACCTTATTTGGTAAAGTTTGTGTGGCTCAAAATCATTCTTACTTTATTCTTACTTTATCTATTACTCCCTCCGTTCCTAAAAATTCTTCCCGGTTTGACTTGACACGCTTATTAAGAAAGTGGAATAAAGTGGAAATGTATGGTTGTGATTGTGTAAGAAAAAGGTAAAATGAATGTGAGCCACACAAATTGTCCAAAATGGGAGAGTGGGAAGTATTTTTGGGAACAGCCCAAAAAGGAAAGTGGGAAGTATTTTTGGGAACAAAGGGAGTAATATCAACCACACAAACCTACTTTTCTTAAAATTCGTGCCACCCTCTTCCGGGACATTTAAAAGGGAACGGAGGGAGTATATACTAGACAGAGTCAACATGGACACAGGCGTGGGCATGACAAAGAGTTAAAAAATAAAAATGATTCACTCATGTCAGCTTTAGTAACAAGTCTTCATAAAAATTACTACCTCCGTCCCGATGAACTTTGACAAATGCAAAGTAGGTGAGAAATAAAAATAGTAAAAACTGTGTGGTTGAAATTTGTGCAGAGGAGAGAGAAATGTGCAGAACCACAAAGTAGTTACTTTAATAGGAATGTGGCAAAGTTTTTTGGGACAACAAAAAAGGGAAAGTTGGCAAAGTCCAATGGGACGGAGGGAGTAGTATATAAATTGGAAAACCCGAAACTTGTTCAATTAATTTGTTCAAACTTTTTGTTACGACTAACTTATCCCAAAATTGTACAGTGCACATACTCAAAAACATAAGGGGCATTAGACGGGAGCAAAGCGAGTCAGGCCCGACATGAGCCCCTAGCTCTGCATCGTTAAGTGAAAGAGATAATTCCATGTGCAAGTGTACCAGGAGGGTGGACGATATTTAGATATTCCTCGGGTGAAACCACTGCTCTTTCTGCATAAAAGGGGGTGTAAGTTGAGAAGATTTCAAAGTAAATGCATATGTTCATAAGTGATAACCAAGCTTACCTTCTAAGTGACGCAAGATAGTCCTCCCTTGAAAGATTTTGCATCTCTTCGAGGTCCCTAGTATAGTCTGTTACCTGATTGAATAAAGGTAAAGATTCCTTCAATTACATTTGTTCCAATTTAACCTACCTTCCGAATTCCAATAGCATCTTTTATACCATTCTAAACTCTAACACAAAGCCACATACCCTTATTTCACTTTAAAATAAAAGCCAATCTTAAGCCTCTTACGATGCCTGGATGGCTGGATGTGTGCTAGAGAAATTCTGATAGTATAATTTATATGGAATGTTTGAAGAGAAAATATAGAAAGAAATCTAACTCATCATATGGAAAAGGTTGAAGACAAGGATATAGAAAGAACTAAAGAAGCATAACTCATCATAGTTTGGATTAATGTTAAGGTTTTTACTAGTACTACTATTGTCATTAAATGAAGATATAAATTATATCTTCATTTAATTAAAGATAAGGTTTATACATTCATATGAGTGCTCATAAATGAATTTTCATATTAATACTATAACAAAGATTGATTATTATGTTCATATAATTAAATGAAGATAGAATTTAATAAACAATAATAATAGTACTAGTTTGAAACTTTATTCATGAACAGAAATATGAATGGAGAATTCTTATCTTTAATTAAATGAATATATAATTTACATCTTCATTATAATTTAATAATCAACAATAAATTAATAATAGTACTAATTTGAAACTTTATTCATGAACAGAAATATGAATGGAGAATTCTTATCTTTAATTAAATGAATATATAATTTTTTTCGTTAGATAAAATTAATCCAAGCTATAGTTAGGTTTCTTGTCTTCAACTTTTTTTTCCACTCTTTCTTGTTTGTACTAGAAGGGTAAAAAATTGTCTTCATAGTATATGGTCCCCTTCTTAATGTTAGCAAGGAAAATATACTTAATTTAATTAATTTATTATTTTATTTATCAAGTGTCATATGATGCAATTTTAGTTTTTGTGAGTCTTTGACATGTGCATTCTACAAATGCAACAATACACATATATATGTATCTTATACCATATATCTTGGATTGTATTTTTCTTTCTTTTAATTTTATTTTTTCTTTTATGTATTTTTTTTATTCCACGGGATATGTGGCTATTGGCTATGTTTAGTGAGCTCTGATTTGCAAATGTCTAGCCACATGTTCTTTCATTCTAACTATATATCTATATATACACACACATACAAATATATAGACATATATATACCCATAATATACAAATATACTTTACCCAAGGGGCAGTGGGAGGGGGGCTGGGGGGAGCATGTGGTAAACAGGGCTGAAACTCCCTCCATAGAGTTTCGAACCCGAGACCTCCCGTATGGGAGAGTGAGTCGGCGACCAGCTGAGCTGGACCTCTTCCTCAATATACAAATACACACACACACACACACACACACAAATATATAGGCATATATGTGCACATACAAATATATAGGCATATTAGGATATATATCCACATAATATACAAATATATAGGCATATATGTGCACATACAAATATATAGGCATATATATCCACATAATATACAAATATACACACACATACAAATATATATACACACGCACATACAAATACATACACACATACACATACAAATATATATAGTCCTCATGCCTAACTATATTAACGTCAGATTATTATATACTATGTATTATTACTTTCAAATTGGATAGAGAAAATTGTTATATTTGTTCATACAAGAAAAAAATTTGATAGTTCAAGTTGAAATCATCACTATTCCTTACATAATCTACAAAAATTAGGGTGTTACAGAAGACTGTCCAGTTGAAAACTGGTACAATATTAGGCAAAGAAAATAAAGAGTAATTTGGAGAGATATTTTGGGTAAAAATAAAACATGAATCCAAAGTCAAAAAAATATTTTAGAAATTAGTTCAAGCTCATTTTTCTTTTATTGCTATCATATAAAGAAAGACTAAGATATTTAAATACATGTAAAGTTTGAAAAAAACTTAATCATATTTGAGTATTTGACTTTCTGTAGCGATTTTTCATTCCCTAACATTCCCCTGATCCAAATACCCAAAGTTTCTAGATATGTGTTATCTTACTCGAAAATTAATGAGTGTTCCAGGGCCCCAATATTTCAAAGCAGCAAGATCATATGCTCTAGCTGCCGCCTCTTCATCATCATATGCTCCTATAGACATTTTAAACCACATATGGTTAAAATTAGTCTGATCCCTTGATGTTTTGACTTCTAAGAAAAGAGTACACACAAACTACTTACCTAAGTAAACTGTTCCAATGACCGAGCATGCAATCCACACCAATATTAAATTTTGAAACGTGCAATTCAACAAGACATTTGAGCTCTATGTTAGACATTCCATCAGCAAGTGAAAATAAAACATAATTAATCTGTTAGAGAAGCAGAGAAGCACCTTGTTTTCCTTTCTTATTTTGATTTTGATTCCAGGTGCTTTTGTCCCAAAGATGAGCTTCATAACGACCAGTCCATCTATGCCTATTCATATATGAAAAAAATCATATATCACAATTTTGGTAGTAAAAGTAAAATCAATAATTGGAGAGGTTAAATTGCACATGCAGTATTGCATGTATTTTTAGTAAGAAAGAAAAGGACCAAAATACAAACCATTTCAACTGCCCTGATAAGGAAAACAGGCAGTTGATTACTTGATTGTGTTATCTTAATGTAAACTTTAATACCCACATGGCCATATGTTAACCAAAACTTAATGAAAAAAAAGATATTCAGGTACACCAGACCAAACTCAAGTACTTAACCAAGAACAGCATCAGATCTAATAGACTAAAGGTAATAATTTTTGGGGCATCAAGCACCTTCAACAGCACTACCCCCAGGCCCCAACCACCAACCCTGAACAAAAATACTCCTAAATCCAGGGTTGCTCAATAGTTTACCTTGTACAAGTAAGTGAATCAGCCTAATCTAGAAACTAGTGAACTTTAGATAAGGGAAAATGATAGCACATATCCTTTATACAAAAATTAGTGGTTTGAGCACTTCTAGATCATTATGCGCTGATTTGTTTTTTCTTAACCTGCTATGCTATATGAAACAAACCTCATGCTTCACTTGTTTAACTTACCTAAAATAGTTTAAGTCTAGGGGAGAAGTAAATACCATAACACCCTCCCTCATTAAATGGAAAAGAAAATAAAAGTTGCAAGGAACTTCAAATGGGTTTTAGAAAAATTCAAAATGATCTCATGTACAGGATGGGAAATTAGCGAATAGGATAAATCACTCTGGAAGGCATTACTTTCAGAAACACTCACGACCATAGTTTAGGATTACAGCCGAAGAACTGCACTTGCAAGTGATGCGCCAAACATTTGACATACAATGTTTCTGAAAGAAAAAGGGCTTGCCAGTTGCCCCTTAGAAAATTTCTTTCAAATTCCTCATCAGAAGAGAGGTATACAAAAAAAAACTTAATAAAACATGTCCATTTGGATCTGCTGCAGATTTCTCATCTCATATAAAAGTTTGGGAGGAAACTCGATGCTACATATACTTGTTCTTAGCTACGTAGCACGGAAACACGAAACGGGAAACGCGAAACGGGAAACGCGAGAAACGTAATTTCTACAAAATATAGGATACGAAACGTGGGGGAAACGCGTAAATATTAAAAATTATAAGGGTATATCTATAAATACTTTTTCATATATGTACATGATATTATCATAATTTGTTTAATGACCCAATAATAAAAACATTCCACATGTTCAAATTTTGAAATCACAACATATTAGTACATACTTAAACATATAATGTAATTCATTTCTAGCAATTCATTCCGTTACGAAATGTCTCAATGTTGCTATGAGGAAATATCACAAAAATTTACTATTTGTTTTTTAAAAAGACATTACTTTTACACCACAGAACTCTTAAGAAAGAGAAAATTGGAAATTAAGGGTTTCCGAAATGCTAAATATATAGGGAAACGGGTTTCCCCATTCTTCTTAATTACGGAAACGGCCCCGAAACGGGAATTTGAAGTTTCCGAAGTTCGGAAACGCTTCCGAGTTTCCGAAACGGGGAAACGTGAGCCGGAGAGAGTTTCCGTGCTTCATAGGTTCTTAGAGGTCTTAATAACAACTAGATATCAGATATGCATATTGAACTTATACACCAAGGTGAAATTTTAGCAGTGACACTAAGTCACTAACTTGAGCTCATTTTCAGCTAACTTACTGCTAACTTTCCCATTGTTTTGTCACCACTCAAATCACAACCATAACACAGAATGAAATCTTCTCACTGACCTTGACTATTAGTTTTGCCCTAGGTCTGCATTCAAATATTTAAGTAAAATAATGAAAATTAGCCCCGTTTTCCTTAGATGAGTATCTCTCTATGACTTTCTAGCTGGTATACCTAGTGACACCACGATATACAGAGCTTCTCTTGCCAGCAGCGCATGGGGGCATTTTGCTGATACGCTCCTTAGCCGTGCAGACTCTCTCTTTTTTTGCTTTCTTCAGTAGTCTGTACAAAGATAGCTGATCGCTTCCTGCCGGCCCTGCTGTTTCTGATGACTCTCCACCACAAACATCATTGCCACTGCTTCCTTCAGGTCTCGCAGAAGGCTCAGGGGAGGAAGAAGCCATAACTAGACCTATCTCTTGTAGATATTTAATAAATACTCGTAAATAATTACAAATGAGATTTGATAAAGTGAATCTCAAAAATGTAATGGAGGGGAAGGATTAGGAGAGTATAGGCAGGTGGGCGAATTTTCCGAACAAACGGCCATTTGCATTTAAACAAGACTGTAATGAAGGAAGAAGAGTTGACATCATTGGAGTATCCAGTACTCCGTACTTTTGGTTTGGGGTAGGGATGGCAATTTAACTCGACCAGATGGATACCCGCACCGAATCGAACCGGTCAAAATGGGGAAAACCGCTTTGACCGGGTAACGGGTACGGGGCGGGGAATATCCGATTTATGTAAACGGGTAATGGGGCGGTTATGGGTTTATACATACCCGCTCCGTTACCCGCCCCATTACCCGCCCCGTTTAATTTGGATACGGTTACCCGCACCATTACCCGACCCGTACAATTAACTTACATATTTTAATAGTTTATGTATTTATTATTTAATATATTAAGTATATATGAATAATAGTACATTAGTATATGACACTTATTTCCTCTATTTTTTTGAAAAATATTCAACTAATCGGCTATCCTTTGCAATTCTGATGAGTTGATGCTCAAAATTCACTATTTTAGATTTTTAATTTTCAATTTCATTCGTCATCCTTCCTGTGTTAACTTCTACAAGATTTATTTTCTTCACATATTGATTATTTGATTTTCATGATTTTCTATACACCATTCTATAAATTAAAGCATTATGTAAACTTCTCATTTTTATTATGTTACTTGTATACATTACTGCTCTTAAATTTAGATACTAAATGCAGGTGGGGTATGATTATTGAATTTTTTGAAGTTAAATGTTTTTGTGATTCATATTTAGATTTTACTATCGAGACAAAACTTAATCTCTTGATGTTGATGTGGTAAGAGATTCATAATTTTGAATCTAGACATATATAATTTGTGAATATTAGGTTCAAAAGATTGTAATTTTTGTGATGTTTTAAAAAACTTTATTTGTGGTGCTACTTAATTTTGATTTTTTTTAATTTAGGTGGTCAATTATAAGTAGTTAATCATCATACTAATTTTGAAAAAAAAAATTATCTTTTAATAAAACAAGTGGTGCTATTTAATTTTGATTTTTTTTATTTAGGTGATCAATTATAAGTAGTTAATCATCATTTTAGGATTTATACTAATTTTGAAGAAAAAAATTACCTTTTAATAAAACGGTTACCCGCGGGGAAACCGTTACCCGCGAGAAAACCGTTACCCGCGGGGGGAAAATACCCGACGGGTAACGGGGCGGTTTCGGGGAAAAATATTATCAAACGGGGCGGGTACGGGTAATGGTATACCCGACCCCGAACCGCCCCGTTGCCATCCCTAGTTTGGGGTCGAACACCCATTTCATAATTCATAAAGTATTGGGATTTTATCTTTCGCGGAGTTGCTAAGCGGGTGAGAAGGGAAAGGATAGTAATGAAGGTAGCGGATTCGTGCGGTGAGAGGAACAGTCTGAAAGGTGATGTAAGTCCTGCTGGATTCGTCCTTTGGAGCCAGTACTGACGAGGCTGACTGTGATCAGATTCGGATTTAACTGTCTAGGGCTTTGGAGGGTAGTTCATAGACTCCAGTATTATGGGAGCGTAAGCCCCGACACCTGGATTATCAAAAATAAATAAATAAATAAATAAATAAAGTATTGTGATTTTATACTAAACTACGTAGTAGTAAACTCACTCGTGCCTAGGCTTGGACTCAGCCCAGGTGGCCCGACCCGAACCAGCCCGGGACCAGTACTGTGCTGAACTCGTCCGGCCAGTGATCAGTCCGGGTAGGCCCGGCCCGGGGGGTTTCCGGTGCGGGCTCGGGTCACCCAAAATCCAAACCGGCTCGGTCGGTTCGGACTCGGTTCTGGGCTTTTTAATTTTTTTTCAATTTTTTTTAACTTTTCGGGTTGGGCTGGGTATTTTGGCCATATGGGGTGGTTTGGGGTTGGGGGTGGGAGGGGGGTTAATTAGGAAAAGGAAAAAAAAGGCCCGGCCCCGGGCCCACCTGTAATAACCTGGAGGCCCGCCCGAGCCTAGGCCCGGCCCGGACCCGAACCGGCTTGAGTCCAAGCCTGCTCGTGCGATTCACGATCTAAGAATTTTTCTTTCAAATTTATGTGTGCTTAGTGATTCAAATCACACTATCAATTGATGACATCATCTATCTTTATGTCATACTGATATACGTCAAAACATAAACGAAACACACTCATAATATTATGGTCAAAATGAGAGTACTACGCATTATTTAAAAGATAAAAAACATCCAACAAATACGTTGAAACCATCACATTGTAAATATACATTTAATGTAAACCTAAACATTGTTGAACACTTCTTTAAATACAACATTCTGAGTCTTGTCAGTGGTTTGTTTATCTTCATCACTAATTAGAATTTTTAAATTTACACGAATTACATTTTTAGACGAATTGTCTTTCTAAATAGGTAAAACAAGGGAGCAAAATATGTGAAAGTGTGTTATGTCATTCTTGAATTATACTTGAATATAAAATTGTGGGAAAATGTTCAAATAGGTGCTTCTACTATTTCTAATATCCAAGTATGGTTTGGTCTGGTTTGTTTAAGTTTGGTTTGGTTTGAGACTGAAATAAGATTAAGTATAAACATCTCAAGTAATATGGTGACTATGCATTTATACGAATTTCATTTTTTACACAAATTGTCCGGGAGTATTGGCAAATCAGGGGATGTGCAAATATGTGAAAATGTGTTATGGCATTATTAAACAATACTCAAATATGATAATTCTTCAATCGGGCCTTAACCGGCTCTATTCGATCCTAGACCAAACTCGTGTGATGCACAGTTCGACCCAATTGTACTGGGCATCTGGGCCAATCGGGCCTTAACCGGCTCTATTCGATCCTAGTAGAGCACCCATGCAATGCACAGTTTGAAAATTTTCACGATGCAATTAATTTTAATCAAATTTAAAGTTAAAAAAACTTCTAATTTTACGTGAATAATTTACAATTATTCTCCGTACAATAATAAAGTTTGACGTAAAAATGAAACATATTCAGTATGATCTATCAATGATTACTAAGTAGTTCACACATTTTATAGACCCACAATATTCTCTGTTTCAATTTTTGTTCCCCTGTCATTGTATGTAATATATGTGATTGTTTAACGCTCCTGACACAACCACGTAAAATTGACAATGACTACAAATAAGTGTTTTCAACAACAAACCATTCAACACGGGAAGCCAACTATTTTTTATTTTATTTACATTCATGACACAATAAGTCATGTTTAGGTATTCTAGTATCCGGAATTGCAATGGCTAACATTTTAAGGTGTTAAGAAATGCTTTGAAATTAACACCTTCTGTTCCGCACTAACTCATGTTAAAATAAGTAAGGAAAAGGTACTTGTGGTTAGGCCCGTTTTCAGATAGGGTCATGTGTTTCATTCTTTATCAAAGTAGTTCATGTGTTTGAATCCGTTATCACAAGAGGGTCACACCATTAAAAACGTCTGAAAAAGACCGTTAAAGTAACCCCGATTTTCAAAAGTGCCAGAAAAATTAAAAGAAAAATATTGAAAGGTGCGCCTCGTCAAGATGACATCCAAACCACCTTCGCCTTTGGATTTTTCAGATCCGTTTGATTTATTTTTTAAAAATGATTTCGCTAATATCACTTTTCAGATGGACTTTTCGGTGACAAGGGTGGTTGAAAACAAAAAAGAAAGATGGCCTAGCGGTCATCTTATTGAGGTGCACCTTCCGATATTTTTCTTTTGATTTTTCGAACACTTTTGAAAATCGGAGTTACTTTTAACGGTCTTTTTATGACGTTTTTAAGGACGTGACCCTCTTGTGATAACAGAATTCAAACACATGAACCACTTTGATAAAGAATGAAGCACATGACCTTATCTGAAAACAAGCTCAAACACAAGTATCTTTTCCGTACTTTTCCCAAGTTAAAATCCTTCCTTCTAGTAAATTCACTCTCACAATGCACAAATGATTTAGCAAATATTTTTTTCATTTTCTAAATGATTGCTCGGATAAACATGCAAAATAGGGGTGTGCAATAATGTAAAAGTGTGTTATGTTATTTTTAAACTATACTTGAATATAAATTTGTGGGAAGTGTTTAAAGGGATCCTTATATTATTTCACACATGTGTGTTGACCGACCATATACGAAAAAAAGTAATGGTGTCATTATACCCGCACGGGTAGCTCAGTTGGTCGAGTGGTGGGAGATTTGGATCAATGGACCAAGGTTCGAATCCCCGCAGCGATCGGGTGGAAGTCACATGACTTGAAATAAAGCTGGACCTCTGGTGCGCACGGGTGTATGAGCCTACTGTCATTCTACTGACTGAGTCACCGTGACTAACCTCTCCACCATCCTGTCGGGTCGAGGTGGGAGGCTCCTGGGATGGGAGATTCCACCTTTTTTTGGATCAAAGTAATGGTGTCATTAAGTACACTAACTTTTAAAACACATTCAATCGAGGCATTTTCAGCCACTATGGTGAATTTGAAAAATGTAATGGAGGGGAAGGATTATGAGAGTATAGGCAGGTGGGTGAATTTTATGAAAAAACGGTCATTTACATTTAAACTAGACCGGAAGAGGAAGAAGAGTTGACATCATTGGAGTATCTAGTACTCCGTATTTTTGGTTTGGGGTCGAACACCCATTTCATAAAGTGTTGGGATTTTATCATAAATACTACTCCGTACTATCATCATTGCTTACTTTAACGTGAGCAAAGAAAAATGTACGGAGTATCATCAAAGTTTACTTCGTGGAACAAGAGAACAATAACGAGAACAAAGTTTTAGGAATAAACAAAAAGATAAAGTTAACAAAATTGAATGAGACAGATAAAGTATTAAAAAATAATTTATGGACAAAAACACCATTTTTAAGTTTTAGAAATATGATTAATTCAAGAGGTAATAGTCCTAAATAGGATTAAATTAATACTTAAATGCACAAATAGGAGTATGTTATTTATCTTCCCCAAATATGACAAAAGTGTACTCTATCTTACTATTCTACAATTAGGATAACTTAATAGGATAATCATATTTTATAATTTCTAATGAATACAAAAAAATAACTTACACAAAAAATCGTAAAAAATATAAAAAAAATCTAAA